GAAAATACTGAAGTGGAACACATTTACTTTCTTCTTTTTAAATGCCTTACAAATCAATATTTTTCAAATTTCTATTTTACTGAGACGCTACAAAGTGAAATTACAAAATAATTAAAAATAAAAAGTAAAACCGCCGCATTGGGATTAGTGCAGGGTCTCTTGACTGTTGCTCACGCGCTTAGATTGCGTGGCATCGCGTCGAAAATTTGAATTTTCGCCGCAGTGAGATTGAGATTCGACGAAGATCTCTGAGGTCCCCTCCTTGTTTACGTTTCCAAGCGACGTACTGAATGTCGGCGGAAAGACCCGAACGGGCAGTGTACATGGACAGGCCCTGTTCGACAGGGCTGGGCTGGGATATGCTTCTTAAGCTTCTTGGTGTGCTAGCACGGTGGACGTAAGTGGGAGACGCCTGTAGGTCATAGTGGGAGACGATGGTACGTCGGAGTGGGTGAGTGGTGGAGGTAAACAGTACCACGTTCTGGCATCACTGGCTAGTAGTAGAGTCGGCTGTGCTATTATGTAATATACATATATGCTATGTACTATAATTTATACATGTATGCATACATTCTATGTATATAGGTAGTTGCTAAGAAACGTATTTACAGATGGCGGGTGACCGGTGGTTGAATCTGATTCAGACTGCTCAGAAAACAGCAATTATTCAAGATGGTAAAACACTTGATTTGTCATTTTAATTAATTGGTTATTTTATTATTTTATGTAAGTCATATTATAATCTAGATAGTTCACTCAAATATATTGTTAAACTTGAGATACCTTTAACCTCTGCAGTGTTTAATCAATACATATTTGTCATTATAAATTACAAATTTTTATGTCATACAATTATAAAATTAACTTATATATAACCATATATACGTACAAAAAAAATATATTTTCTCATATTTGTAATATGTTCATATTTATTTTATGAATTATTTAAATTTATTTTTTAAATTACCCAACTCTACGAAACTTGAAAATATTTAATGCAGGTATTCAACATTTATAATCTGTAATAATTTAATCACTTTATGAAATTTTTAGGACTAATTTTCTTGATTTTTTTCATAGGAAAACGAAAAATTCATTTTTTATTGGAAGATGGCAGAGAAATGGTAGAAGAATATCATATAGAAACTAATGTATTAGTTCGAAGAGCATGGAAAGAAACAGGTAAACTTGGTCAGAATGTAGGTTGGAATGTAGAAATTGGTGATCCAGAACCCATGCAAAATAATATTGAAGTTTGTGGAATTCAGGAAAGTTCAAATGCTGTACGTTACTGTTGAAGGTTACAGTATAGATTAAAAATTATATTTATGAAAATATGTTTCAAGTTACTGAATACATCTGATAATGTATCATGTATTTTTTAGCCATCTATTTCTAGAAGAATAACAAAAACATCACTTGAATGGCGTATAAGAAATTTACCATACCCACTTAATGTATATTCAGTAACTGCGGAGGGTGATGGAACAATAACTGTTCGTACAAGTAATAAAAAGTACTTTAAAAAACTAGTGGTTCCTGATCTGGAACGTGTTGAATTGAAACCAGAACAAGACAGAATATCTGTTACACATCAATATAACACATTAATTATTACGGTATGGAAACTATTTTCTATTACTTTATTATTTAAATATAAATCTTATGATTGTTTAATTTATAGTACAAAAAACCACCTGCACTCTTGGAATTCGAAAAAAAGGTGTTCAGTGAAATCTTGCAGGCGAAATCAAGTAAGGATAGCGGTATACAGTGTCCAACAAGCTAATAAAAATGTTCCATTTTCAACATTCTTTTGTTTGCTTTGCCCAATATCACATTTAAAGATTGTTCATTCATAAGAAAAAGGAACCTTCTAGCTTTAGCATCTTGAAAAAATTATATTTCTTGAATAATAGTCATGGAACCATTGAAACAAATTTTGATTAACCTCTGTAAATGTTGAACATCATGAATAGAATTATATTTAAAGTAAGTATATTGTTTCGATTAATTGGTATTTTTCTGAAATAAATTTGGAATGATTAATGTAATACGTAAAAAGAAATAAATTCATTCATATAAACGAGTTGCGCGCGCAAATCGAGAAACCTTGATTGATTGTCTGCGTCACGCTGACATCGCTGCATCTCTCCGCTGCGCATATGTGTTGTGTTAGTGATTTGGCGTTTGTTATACTTATCATTTCACATACATACGTGAACAAACGACGAATATGCCGAAATCTATACCCGAAAGGTAAGTAATATTTTTTCATATTGTAGATACTACCAGTAAGTTTATTCAAGTATTTAAATGTGCTTGTTTAGCAGTTTTAATCTGAGGTCACATTTGAGGAGGTTATGTTACCTTGTTGGTTTCAATTCTTTACTATTAAAATAAGACAATCAAGGGTACCTATATAATTCTATATAATCGAAAAATTATAGAAATTGTAATGTATATGTTATTTAATAAAGATTAATGATATTTAATTTTTTTCACATAAGTTAATCATATCATAATAGTTGCCAATTTTAATGTTCCCACGTGGTGAATTTGTAATGAAAGTAAGCCGGAACGCTTTCGATTATTTTATCAAATAGGTTTCAACAATTGATACTTCGGTTTAAAGCTTAAAGTTTTAAACATTTGGTAGTGCAACATGTAAGTTTTGAGAGGGAACTTCTCCGCGAGAGCGCGCTTTTAGTGTATTTAAAACAATTTGTATTCGAATGATAAAAATTAGACTACCCTCTTCCCTAAAGCTTTTGTTTTAAATTATTTAAAATATTACGAATATTAATACAACAGTATGTTTTACTTACTACATTTTTACTAAAAGGGGGACTTCATTCTTATTTGCAGCTTTTTTGTGAAATCAATTTTGTTGTTAACACTACGTTCGTTATATTTCCACAATTTCGGATTAATTTTACACTAATAAATAGATTGCAGATATTTAAGCAAATTTAGATTTTTGGAGATTATATATCAGAAATTTTAACTGAACAAATATTTATTTCGTGTACTAAGGATTTTGAAATGATAAACTAAAAATTTTATTAGTCTTAATACACAAGTAAACAATAATAAAAGAATACATAAGTGCATAAAAACTGCTGTCTATTAATAAGAACAATTTCCGGTTTTTTTTAGATAGATATACCGTGTGTTTCACTTAACTTTATCACCTGAAATATTTCTGCTATACTTAAAATTTTAGGGAATGTTTCCTTAAAGGGACCTTGAAGCTTTTTTTTTGTAGGGAGTTGAATTGATCTTTAAACTTTAAAGTGGCTAACGATGCCGAATAAAAAAATAATGTTGACCTTCGTATTTCATAAATCCCTCCCAATAGAATAAAACTATTATTATTATACGCTGGACACCATAAAACTATGCAAATTTTGTAGGAAGTATTTTTATAAAATTTTAAATATACCAGAAATATTTCAAGTTAGGTGAAACACCCTGTATATTCTTCTTTAGAACATCGGTCGATTTCTATAATAATATATACTTTGGAACTACAGTTTATTATCATAACTATTTTTCTTAGGGAATTATAAAAATGTCGTATAACAATGATTACAAATTTAATAGAAATTTAGTACAGGCTATCTGTATAACCATGTTACAGGGTACCGTTAATATTCAAAGATATTTATTTTCCACGATACCGAATCGAATTAAGCTTCATTACCGATCAGTCGCAAATTTCTAACATTTATTAGAAGAAATAAAGCACCTTCGTTCGTATTACATATGCGTAACAGTCCTTGGCGGCTTGGCGGGAACAAACACACATGTTGCATACATTTACGTGGCGGAAATATCATTTATGAAACATACCACTATAGTAACATAAGATTTCTCATAAACATATTTGTACATACTTGCATTTTCATTGAAGATTTTACAACATAAATTGTTGTCATGTCTACAGTATATTAATGTTATATGTTTTTATTAAATAATGTTTGTAACCTCATGTGCAAACATTATGTTACTTGTAGTATAAGAAACATTAGACGCTATAATATTATTCTGTAAAATCAGAACATTAGTAAAGACGTTATATTATGTAGTTGCTTTCTAATAAGTAGTCAAACTTTATATGATCTTATTGTGAATAATTAAATATTAAGGTAAATTACTAAATATCGGTAATTATTGAGAACATGGTTCTCTGCACTGATTTCAACGACCTTCAAACATGTTGTCAATACCATCATTAGGAACAAAAAAGGGGAAAAGTTTTTCCATATATGTAATAGGCGGTCTCTCTTTTTTTTTAAGGTTAGAGCTAGTTAAAAAGCAAAAACAATACTGTTCAAAGCATTATATTGATTTGAGTAGGTTGGGGCTAGTTAAAAAGCAAAAAAAAAAAATATAGTTCAAAGTATTATTCTGTTTGGAGTATTCAAAATCACTGAAATCAATTAAGCGTGATTTTTAAGTTCACTCGTTGTTTGTCGGTGTTGTGATGTGTTTATGCATAGAAACAGCAGATAAGCGGTCGCACCATGCTGATGCATATATTGCTATAAGCGTGCAAGTGTAGACAAAATTCAGTGCCTAGTGGGAGCAGTTTTTTGCGAATATCTCGGAAACTAAGAGAGACCAGCTATTATATGTACATACATATAGGGAAAAGTTATCCAGAATTATGGTCTTGATAACATATTTCAAGGTTATTGAAATCGGTGTTGAGGACGATGTTCTGAATAATTACGAAATACATTTGTCTGAATTTTTTTGCAAAAGTTTACATAGTTAATGTAAACTTTTGCAAAAAATAGTAGTAATAAAAGTAACTCCTGTTTATACCCGGTATAAAAACAGGACATTTATTTAAAACAATTGCAATATAAATGGTTAAAATATATTTTTTTTTAACTGAAATAATTATTAGTTGGTACTCTTATGTCTTCACTGTAAGTATTCACAAAGTTCAGTTTGATCAGTTTGTTAGTTCAATACTTATGATTTATTGAAAAAAGGTTGACCCTAAATTTCAAACATCTGTAAAATCAATATTTTTCAAAATTTTCAAAACTCCTTCGAGATACGTTTATATATCGCTAAAGAGTACAATATATTCCAATTTGAACAAAATCCGAAATAATGCTCCAACAATTTCGCGTGAAATGACCCTAAAGGAAATACAAAACTTCACATTATAAGTTACTCTTTCACGGATAAAACTTCGAAAAAATCGGTTTTTAATTTTTAAAACTACAGAGCTCTCTACTAAATGATTTCCAAAAAATTGAGGACAATACTTATAGTAATTAGTCGTTATTATGAAAGGATAAATGCGGTGCCTTAAAATTTCAATAAGAAATCTACTTTTTTCAGCATTTTTAGCGTTTTCGATTTTTTATAACTAGGATTTTCAACCAACATATTGGACAAAATTCTTTAACACGTACCCCGGTAAATAGTATCTATCAGATCTTTTACAAAATTTTTGCACGTTATGAAGTATAGAAAATAAAGGAAAAATTGACAATCCGAATTTTCCCTATTACTACCCTCCTAGGCGAGATAGATGGTTCAAAATTGGTACAAACTGTTTTTTCTAGACAAGATATCGAATGGTTCAACGCCCGTTCAAATCGTTATAAGGGCATTTTTAACCCTTTTATTCTACTATACCCTTTTTCTCTGGTTCATAAAACGGATAGAAATCAGTTCATTTACTGATGCTGTATGTTTACTACTCGAAAACTTGTTAATATCGGTAGTTAGCTGGTCAGTTGTAATTTTTCTTTAAAAACAAAATGTGCAAGGAAACTTGAACAAAGTCTTCTATGTATTTTCAATTCAACGAAATGATGCGAGACAAGGAACATACAGCCTCTGTACATTACGGAAACACAATGTGATTTTGAATAACTATTTAGAGTCCACGTTTACGCGCAACTCCGATGACATTTAACTTATCGTTCGGAAAGTGGTCTCCGTCTTTATTGCTGAAGTGTTTAACGGGCGTTTCCGTTTTATTTAAATGTAGTAGAATATATTAAGTACAAACTATGTAAATCTGATTTAAAATTTGAAAGTTTTCACATCTATGGTAATGCAAGATATTTTTCAAATAATACTTTTATTTTGGATTCACAAAGTTGTGGATGAAATTAATAACAAAAAATAAGTTTTAGTAACGCGGTGATCTTATGATTATATTCAGTTTTTTTTTATTTCACTTATTATACTCATCTGTTTATTTAAATACCATACATATGTACATCTACGTGTTTGTATTTATTTTTTTTTCTTACATCGTGAATATTATTGTTATTTTCTGCTGTAGGTGGCTCGATTATAAACCTTACGGTACGGTGATACGTGGTACAAAAATTCTGCCGTTCAAAGTACCGCTGAAAGAGGTGAGTACTATTTATAGATAAATCAATTCAACTTTAAAGATAGGTGCACATTTTGCCAGTGTTCGTGTTCACTAATTGTTATATATCTTACTTCTTATCCTGTTTTTATCATATCTTGTTTTTAATTCTTGTTTGCGATAAATTAAATATTATAGTTGTCTTTCTCATATTATTATTGGAGTGCTGATATAAAAATAAGTTAGTGTATCTGTTCAGTGGGTATTTTCTACCTCCTCTAAATTGATCATTATTTTCTGTCAAATGTTTAAATATTTTTATGTACGGAGAGATAGTACAAAATTTAAAGTAACTGTGAAAAGTATTTTTCTAATAATTTCATAAGAACTTGAATCCTCAGTCTAAAATATACTATAAATGGTACAATGTCCTACATAATCATCGTATGCCATCCGAGTAAATTTGATCCAAAATGAAACTTTGGTATTTAATAACTTTTTATTAAAACGTTTGATGCATAGGAATTCAACTATTTAACGATTTAATAATATAATATCATTAAACCAAAACTTTAAAAATTTGATACTTTAGTTGATATTTGTTGCAATTCAGTTATAAGCCCGTGTAGGATTTGTTTCACTCAATTGTAGGTTTAGGTTAATTTGCCTGAACAGTTCTAACGTATCACTTATTTACATAAACAACTTTATTAAACTGTTGTACTGAAATTAGTCATTGAAAGAAGTTAAAACGTGTTTCAATCGCTGAAATCGCATAGAATATCGTTCCAACTGATTGACAAAAAGGATGATACATATTAACATTTCTCGTTCTACCAATGTGTACGATAGGTTTTTAGGGGCCTATATAGAATTATACATATAATCATACCATACCGAACTGCATATAATCATACCATTACATTTCACGACAGTATAGCTTACATGCTTACAGCTTAAAGTTTTACTCTTATAAAAACTGGGTAAAATGAAACAGGAAAATTTAGGGTTATGAAAATATATAACATAATGTACAACATTGACGTGAACAAACGAGAATAATTGTCTGACAGTATTACTTATATATCAGATTAAGTTCAGAAACGATAAGACATGCACGTGATGCAGCGATACGAAGATTGCAACTTTGCATTGACGCAAACGGTCACCACTTTGAGCATCTCTTGTAATGTAAGAAAGTTTATTTTATTATCACATTTGACATTGCATGACCTTCAATGATAGCTCGCTGAAGTGGTCTCAACACCGGCTATCACATCGCGATAAACAAAACATAGCATTCCGTTAAAAAAAATAGAGATGACCTTGAAATCTCCTCTATGCCTTCACCCACGCAGAAAATGTTTGTGTCGCAATGTGCCCCCCTCTATACCGTGTAAGTTTTGTATATAACATTTTTTCATATTATTACAAATAATGGCAATATTCACAGTGGACATAGTTATTGCCCCACCCTGTATAAATTAACGTTGACATTTAAATTGATTGTTCAAATCAGAAATCTTTCTTGCGAAATTTTTCTAAAGACAGAATCTGTATGCATCCAATGGTTGTATTGTATAAGTCCTATTGTATTTGTTGGTGTTTTTAATAATTCTAATGTTCTAACTCCTGGAATTGCATTGTTTACCTTCGTTATATCCACTCCACGAATTAAATAAGAGGACTGCACTGTCTGATGATGAACAAGGAATAACTCAAGTTCTCTGCTTTGCACGTCAAGTGAGAAAATTTCAAATAGGTATAATAACTTTTTTTGTAATATTAAAATCAAAATTCCAGCTTATCCGTAGTTTGTATTTAGGTGTATAGGTTCTATAGACAAATATTCAAGAAAATGTATTAACATTGCACTGTCGAATTCATCGTTGAAAAATACTAATTTCATCAATTTTCACAATTGCTCTATCTCTGGTAGTTTCCGAGATATTCGTCGAAATAGACTCTACAGCTCTGAATTTACTCAGGTTTTATCAAAATCGGCGATTGACACTTCGGTATGTTCCTTTCTCAGTTCGACTATTCATGTTAGTAAGTGATCCTAAGCTTTTGAGCGATAGCATATTTCGTATATGTAGTTGAAAGCTTTATTCTTGTGTTATTGTTAGTATTGAGTCGAACCAAATATTGGTTCTGATTTTAAAGAAAAATGCAGGCCTAAATATTAATTGTTTATTTTTGCGTTTAATCAAGAATGTGTCCACCACTATTTTAATGTCTCAGATACCTTTCTAGTGTTACCGCGTCGATTGCTTTTAATTGATGTGACAGTTTCATCTCTGTCAACAGTGGTAGGTCTATCTGACTGCGGTACATCTTCCACAGTGGACTTTCCTGTTTCAAATTTGTCAAACAATTTGTTACATGTACGATTACTGACAATGTTGTTTCTATAGACTACACAATTCCTTTCTTAGGTCTGAATGGCATTCTGGCCCTTTCAAAAGTAATAAAGTATTACATGCCGGAAATGCACTTTTTAGTCTTCCAGTTTAAAATCTGTCGCATATATATAAGTTTGATTATTCTAATGTTTACGATGCTTTTAAACTGAAGAAAAAAGATCACAGAACACAATGATACATAATTTATAGGTTACAATGCGGCCGGTAGTGGAAAAGACTAATCGTTTTCGTTTGTCGGTAGAAAATCGAACGAATTTTTGGTTCAACCCAATAAGAATATAGAAGTCTCATTTGATGTTTAACGTATTAATTTCCCGATAACGTGATATTTGTGTAACATCAGGATCTGTACTCAAATCTAGTATTTCCATTCGCAAATCGTTTCCTAAAGCCGATGCTCTCGAATGTATGGTCCACGTCTTAGGAGTTGCGTTACCGTACTTCTTTTTTCTCCTTTCTCCCATAGTAAATCAAAGGTCCTCTTCGCGGGGGTCGTGGCGGCTTCGAAGCCGAGATAAGATCGCATCGAATTCCAGAAATAGAGGGTACAGTGTCGGCACCCATACGCGTCTGTTCGTGGGATACATGACACTGGCCACCGTGAAGCCGATACAAACCACTGGTATAGAATCAATTTTTGTACGTTTCCAAGTAAATTAGCTCCAAATTAGGTAACAGATCTTTGAGGCACGTGTTATATGTATATAATTATTTCTCTTTTTTTTTTGTAAAAATTCTAATTATCTTAACTGTCAACATTACGGACTTGTATACCAAAAAAGTTTCTTTTGAACACAAGGTATTATTGAAGATGGACGTGCTTCTCCGAAAATACACAGTTATGACATTTTAATGTTTTGTATAAGAGTTTGGGAACCAGTCATTTTGACTGCTCCGGTAGTTCTAGTGTTAAGCCATGGTGTCAATTACGATTTCATTCTGATTTAAACAAGGTCAGTTGTTTATCAATTTAAACAAGGTCAACAGTTTATCCCGATTTGTGTGTTATTGTAATTAATCGCTCACATGTGTGTATAAATGATCTCTCATTTTCTCGATGCTATCATAATGCTTTTTTCTGTGAATATAACATTCACAAAATATATAATTTTGTAGTTATTAGTGGTTAGTTTCATTCATTAGTTATTTTCAATAAGTAAAAGGTATTTCAATTCTACGGTACTTGAAATACTAATGCTCATAATTAGGTTCTTATGAAGTATTGTAATATTTTATTATATTTGTGGTTAAAGATATTGAAAATATAGATCACAGCCTCACCTGCATTCGACACAACATTCGCTAATGTAATTTCTATGGTCACCAAACTTAATTTTTTTTTTTTTTGAGTTATCTAAAGTCACACTAGCCTTCAAGTTGGGCCAGTGTGACATTTTCAATTTCTAACACAATACATTAAATTGTAACACTGAACGCTATAGTATAAAACTATTTACGGATTTATAGAAATAATTATCATAAATATATTAAAATTGACATGACGGGCATGACGGATTATTTTTAGTAAAAATTGTTTCTATACCACTGCGCGGACGGGGAGGTCCGTTTGTCGATCGATGCTCTTGGTAACGGTAAGGTTGGAAAGGCAGCTCCGGGTGAGATCTGGTATCAGTCCAAGCCAAATTGCTGTACCTATTGTTGCATGCCCTGACTCCGACTAAGATATAACGAAGCTTGATGTATGCACACACTTTCGTCTGATACGCGCGCGGCACTGCTTTTTGGATCGTGAATACCAATGGTCCGATTGTTTGCATAGTAGCTGAGCAAACTCCGATCGTATGCTCCCATGCTGGTTGCCGCTGTGTGATGTATCGCGGTCGTGCTGTGATCCAGCGACATTCACTGAACTTTTTTGATTTTATGGGTAGATGAACGTCCAGTGACATCTTTCTCTACTTTCTCTTTTCCGATTCAGTCATCGCTTCAATTTCGTTAAATATTCAATTTAATGTCTGCTTTGAGCAACTTCTTTAGTTCTTTTTTTCTTCATTTCTTTTTCGAAACTTTAATTATTTTTACCTAGCCGATCTTAGAGTAATTTTGTCGATTGAATTTATGACAATTAGAAATATTTTTTATATCGTTAATAATTTGTACTAGATGCTGCATATAGCAGAAAACACAAGTGGATAAACACAATAAATATGATCAACTAAACTGTTGATGAGTTCTTAATTTAAAAACTTTATTGCACAGTATTAAAAAATTAAATGTGTAAATTGCTTGAAAGTTATGTTGAACAACTGAGTTAACATACTGAATAGTAGAGACATAAAATTATAATTTCAGACGTTACAGAAGAAGTATTCTACTTTCGTTCTAATTAAACATAGAAGTGAATTTGAAATTACTGTATACAAATATTTATAGTTAAATTTTGAGGTTTTCATATATATATTTCTTTTTCATTCTTATTTTTCAAGATATATGTTAGTTTATTGTAATATATGTGAAGAAATTTATGAAAATATTCATAAAATAACAATAATGTTTAATTATACTTTATTAGATATTATAAGTTGTTTGTAAACTATCCCAGTGTTATTGTTATCTTTTTGTTGTAACATAATTTGATATACAAATGGAAAAAGTA